TGCGGGGGAGCGGGGTTGACGGCTGCCCGCCTCAAGAGTGGGAGCGGTGCAGCTTTACGCCGATGGCTTTTGGTATTAGCTTAAAAAAGAAATTGTAAAGGTTTTGCCGGTGTTGGCAAAGTGTGCAGCCCGCTGGTGCTGGCGGTCCCTTCTAATGTTGTCTTGCTTCAGCTCCGATATTTAACACCCGGTTCAAACCTCGGAGCGTTTCCCATGGGAACCAGGGAACTATGTGCAGGCTTGTATCTCAAGTCATCTGTGTTTCTAATGAAATCAGTGGAACATTATGAGGACAGGACAGACTGCATTCTCGTAGTATTATCTAAACTGTTACTTCGCCTTCATAGCGGCTCATCCGTCTTTTATACAGCTAGGCTACAGAACTTATTCTGTGTGCAAGCACAGTAAGGCAGGGGCAACACACACACGGCTTTGCTGCCGGCCAATGTGCACGACAGGGAGAAACAAGCTGAAGATGCAGCTGAGGGGAGCGAGGCGGCGATTATTCCTGTTGGTGAAACTCTTCTCTCAGCATCAGCTGCTAGTGCACACACACACACACACACACACTCACACACACAAACACACACACACACACACACACACACGAGAGAGAGACGTGTGTCTTCCCTCCCCCTTCAACACCCACCCCCCTGCAAAATCATAAGCAGCCCGTGCTTTTTTCTCTCCATTTTGTCATTTCAGATGAGAAGCCTGGATCGAGGTCTGGCTGCAAGATGGTGCTTGTGACTGTTACAGTGTAGGAAGGAAGTGAAGTAATGCAGAAATAGCAGTAATGTCAACGGGGCTCTTTCTTCAAACCATGTAATTGTCTAAAGCAATATTGCAATCTACCTTAGTTATAGCCCTGATGTAAAATTTAAGATAGTGAAAAGACAGAAATAGCTGTCAGCTCTGGTCAGTTTTATTCATCCAGGGAATATATATAAATTTCAGTGTCCAGTGGAACATCAACCATATATTTCCCATTCAGCTAGAATGGTTAATATGTGTATTCCCAATATAGCCATTTGGTAACAGGCAAAAGAACAGTCCACATTAAAATTTGTTTTTCTTGGTTAGAAAGCCAAATATTGAAGATACTGGATTCCTGACTATTTCCTGACCAAGTCTCTATAGGGAGAAAGTTCCTGCTTGTTTTAGTGAAGTCTAGTGGATAAGCCTATGAAGCTACGAAGTTGGGTTTTTTAAAATCCCATAGGTTTCCCCACTGCTTTGAAAACAACAGCTCTGATGAGTCATATCAGCTTTTTTCTGCAATGAAAATATCCTACAATCTACAGCCAGTACTGGAATGAGAAGCAACAGTACTGTCCTAAACCCAGTTTTCTCCAAAGTAAATTCCAGGACCACTGACAAACTGGTGTGTGACTATGAATAGTATTTTCTTTCTTGAAATGTGATTCATACTGTTTAAAAGCTGCAAGGTTCTGTTTTCTCTTGTTTCTAGTTCAGATCCCATGACCAGTCTCAAATGTCTCACTGAACTATTTCTTTTTCTAACTTCTTCCACGTCCTTACTACAGGTAAAGTTTCATTCAAGTGTTAGCACATTCCCACAGAAACACTTTTTGTTCACTCCAAGTAAGTTCTTTGAAAAACTGCACAGTGCTGGTGAAACCAGAAATTTTGAAACAAATTTCATAATTTCTATTCACCTTTCATATTTTCAAAGTTATCATGGTGTTCAAATGCAGCTGAATTCATATTTCCTTGCAGAGAAACATCAAGAGTTATGTACTCGTTGTCCTATTCCACTAGAACTGGGTAGCCTTGTTGCCCGACCATAGTTAGAACATTACATTGAACTGTCTTAAATATACACTGCAGATACTGCACAGTCAGTCTGAATATTGCTGCCTGTCATATTTTCTAGGATTTTTGGGGTTTTATTAATTTCATTACTAGTTGAGGGAATTGGAACCCCAAGCAGAAAAAACTATTTCTCTCAGACAGTATTCTCTTGAATCAAAAGAATAAATGCAGGAAATGGCCTATGTTTAGTCTCTTATGTTTCAGTTTGTCTTTTCTGAATTTGGGGCTGAATAATTTGGACATTGCTTTGGGATCAGTGATTAAAGAGGTCATTAGCGTGACACACAAGGTTACAGTAACAGTGTGGATTTATTATGCTGTAAAAAGCATGACCTGGACTCTTTTTGCAGTAGCTTATGGAAACTTGGAACAAAATTTCAAATGGTTATAGTAACATCTACTCTGGTGTGCAAAAACTCTGGACATGGGAAAATACAGGAAAATGGGAAACAAAACTGTCTGAGAAAACTGCTTTTTACATATCCTGATTTGAGTATTTCAGAAAATTTCCTAGATGACCATCATTTTTTCACCTCATTGCAGAAGTGTCTCCTCTGTTTACTGATGAGGTGAGGTTGAGAAAACTCTAAAGAAGTCCCTGCCAATCTTTCTACACTGGTATTTCTGTTTGATTGGTTAGAAGCCATCTTAAAACTCAATACTTAAACATTCTTGCTCTTATTCACTTCCTCTTGCTGTGTCTTGGCACAAGTTCAGGCAACATCATATCTCAATCTGTAACGAAAAGAAGTGACAGGAAACTACAGTAGCTGCTGAACACTTCCCCCACTGCATTTCTTCAGGTTCATGTACTTATTTTCTTTTTAATAACTTTAAAGGATTGACTTATGTATGCATGTTGGCATGATTTGTAAAGCTTTGTCCTGATACTGTTTCATTTATCCGTGCTGTGCAGAATGCGATGTTGAGCTGTTCTGATGGATATTCAGTAAGCTGACTTGGGTGTCAGAGCAGTAAGAAGAAGCCAGGTCAACTAGGAAGCACTTTCAAACATTGCTATCGCAGCTACAGCACCTCTAATTCTCAGCAATCCTTGCTTAAAACTAGTTGTGATGTCTCTGCTCCTAATTAATTGTTGAAGAGAAAGGCATTCTTAAGAAGTAACAGACAGCAACAAGATATTTAATTTGCCTTACATGTGGTCAGTGATGAATCCGAAGTTGTTTTGGTCTTGTAAGTTGGCTGCAAGAAAGGAACTATACTGCCTTGACCCAGAAACATAGTTAGCTTATCTAAATCTTGAAGTTATATGAAACTTACAACCATGGAATATGTTGAATTGGAAAGGACCCACAAGGCTCATTGAGTCCAGCTCCTGGCCTTGCACAGGACAACTCCAAGAATCACACTCTGTGCCTGAAAGCTTTGTCCAAACACTCCCTGAACTCTAACAAATTTAGTTTCATGACCATTTCCCTATGGAACATGCTCCAGTGCCTAAAATCTCTGTGGGTGAAGAGCCTTTTCGTAAGATCCAGCCTAAACCTCCCCCAAGTGGGCTTCAGGCCATTCCCTCAGGTTCTGTCACCAGTCACCACAGAGAGAAGATCAGTGTCTGTCCCTCATGATGAAGTTCTGACTTCAGTCACTCCTCATACAGCTTCTACTAATTAGCTAGGGCTTGGTCTTGGTGTGTCTTGGGTCACAAGACCTGTCAGTGAGAAACTCCCACAGAAATCAGTGTCTGGGCTTGTATAATACTAGACTGTAAAATGAGAGAAGTCTGCGTCAGCTACACGTGGAAATTTGGGGTTGGGAGGTTACAGCTGGAAATGCAGTACAAGCTGCTAGAGCGTACAGGTCCTGAGTTCACTTGACTGTAGCAACTGTACCTGCTATTCATCCCTCTTTGCTCAAGCTGCAGAAAGCCTGTCCCCTCTGCAGTCAGATTGATCCAGCTGATGTATTAATCTTTCTTCTGAGTCAGAAAAGGAGTTACAAACCTGATTCTAACTGTCAGGCTGGGATATGGAGGCATTGTTGAACACTTTTGGCATAGCAA